TCGATCAGCTGTCGATTGGCAGTACTCTAACATTCGTGTTGAATCCGTTTACGAAGCAATCTCCTTCGATTCAAGAAATTGCCTCGGAATCGCCGTCGTACTCTGGCAGGATCAACCTTCGGATCTCTTACCAAACACTTTCACACGAAATATAAGTGAGCTTAACAATTATAAACCAAGATATTCCTCAAAATTCAACTTTTATTCACAAATAATATCAAGTAAAAGTTAACAGCTTAGTTGGAAGTATAGGCTCTGCAGGACTTAAAGCCACACAATTAGGGCTTCAGGCGACTCATTCACATCTATTAGAGTTTTTGAGAAAACCAGGGTATCAACAAATTCAGGCGGAAATAAGAAGAAAACACCAAATTAGCTATTTTAGCAGTGACTATGAGAGGCCGTGTAATGGATTTGATTTGAAGCATGGTTTCAGGCAAACAAGATTGTGATGATACAAAATGTGATGTAATGCAAATAAGCGTAGTTCATTTTCCCATCCTTGCATTGTTACTGAGTGGCCGTATGCTCACTCTGCAACCGGATATAAGGGGATATTCTGCAATATTGGTACATTCTCACCTAGTTGCGTCAATCGTGTGCTCAAACCGAGTACTTACTCAGGTCCCCAACGTCAACGCTTTGGAATCACAAAAGAACTCATTTTCACAAACCTTTTGATACGATTAAATGTGGCTTTCTGATGACTCCATCGCTGGAATAGCTGAGCTAGGTGCCCGGGGGATGATTCTGCATTGGCGAGATGAATGCGATCGGAAAAGGAATCAAATTCCAATATGGGCTTCGAAGTATTGCATTGCAGGCCGCCAAGAAGTGAGCACAGGGCCATCCAGTTCAGAACCCCACTTTCGAAAGGCTATAGCCTCCACTATGAAGAAAACAGACAGAAATGCTGGTCCTTAATAGGAAATTAATTTAGATTGAAAATGTTTCAAGAAAAAAGTCTTTAGCTTAATTTCAACCTTTTGTGAAAATTATTGCGCATCTCGACACAGTCATTTTAAACAATTGCCTGGACATCCAGATTCCCTACAGCTTACTCGTATTTCCTCTGTACGTTCGCTAACGAAGGATTCAATGCTTATTCTGGCCTGCCGCATACTCATTATGGTTTACTTTGATCTAACCTATTTGAAAAGCTACAGGGGGACCACGCTAAGTGGAAAAATGGATACATACATGAATAACAATAGTAATAAGCGTCAACACACTCACAAATGCACTTGACCAGCATTCCCAATGGAGGAACATGTCACTACTGGAGTAGGAAGACCTGAAGAAGAGACAGGAGGAGATGACACTTGCGGATGTTGAGGCGGCGGTGGTGGCGGCGGTTGCGGAGGAGGCTTAGGCTGAGGAGGAGGAGGGGATGTAACAGTTGAGGCCCAGAGCGAGGCTTGGCCAGGATAACAAGTGAGCATGTTTGGGCCAGGCGCAGGATGCTGGAGATTGGGATTATTCCGGTTCATCTGCTGCATTTGGTACTGCTGCGGTTGCTGCTGCTGCTGTCGCAAAGCAACCTGGGGAGGTGGCAGTGCCGGCGGCGGTGGAAGTGATAGCTGAGTTTGCGTGCTCCCTAAGTGGCCACTTGAAGGTGTAAACCCAGTTTGGTGCCCTGTTGGGTGCATGGGTGAGGCATGTCCTGCTACCGGCAGAGCAGCCGGGACGGCAAGAGCGGAAGTTGATCCAGACGAGACGGTGGATGCGACTGAATGCGTATGGAACTGAGTCCAGCCACTCGCTGGGAGCATAGCAGGCGCCAGACCAAGTGCATCTGTAGGCAGATGTCCTAGACCCTCTATACTGCAGTCCGACAGGTCTCCACTAGCACCGCTAGCTCCATTAGCAACACCAGTCCCAGGGCTACTCCCAGAAATCGCTGTAGTGTCGCCGGCGGCATCTGTCATGGAGGTTACACAAAGAAGAGCAGGCGGAAAGGGGTAATGTGGCCCAGGACCGACCAGAGTGGGTGTAGGACTCGAATGTTGCAAGTCGATGTGAGGTCCAGTCGATCCAAGACCAAGTCCGCCAGCTTCCACGACACTCCCAATGCTGCTACAAAGGCCTCCACTCTCACCGCCACCACCCCCTCCGCTACCGGATAGCCTGGATACGATAGAAGAGCTGGTGCTTGGAAAAGGGGCGGTACCCGAAGTGCGGTAACCTGAAGACCGTGGTGGTGAGTGCATCTGCTGATGCAAAGAAAGGTGGGGTTGCGCATGAGAGTGATTGAGCCCAGGGTGCTGAAGAAAAGTGGAGGGCAACGGGCCATCACTGTGGGAAGCACCGATCTCAGATACGCTATCTAGATCGTCCAAATTGACTAGAGACAACTCTAAATTTGGAAGGCAAAAAAAGTATGAGAAGGGGTTATTCAAAGTATTGCTGTATTGCTATGGAAGCATCAGTGTGATTGTTCCACTAATAAATGGTTTTAACTACGACTTAGATTCGAGGTTTACGACGTTATTCTGGTTCATTTTAATCACATGTCTTGTGCCATCTTATCTCGTCCTCGACTGGTTCATACAAACGTCTAATATGTATTTTTTTATAGACTCCGTATTGTACGAGTCAGGAGTTCTCTTCCATCAGAACTATAGCCAGTGATTGATGAATTAGATGACCTGGCAAAGTCTAAC